TTTTTTTTTTTTTTTTTTTTTTTTAAGGGAAAAACAAGAAACAACCTAATGGCCGACGAAGAGAGAACCACCACCAACAAAAACTACAATATTGCATCCCCCAACTAACTTTTACAAGAATAATTTTGATTACAAACGATTTTGTGAAGAGAATTCCATTTTGAGGCCGAATACTTCGTTCGAAATCACAAATATTATCCATGTGTTTGTGTTTCTAGCTATCAGCATAAAAATTTATAGTTTCGTGCAATCCTCAAGGAGAAGAACAAGAGGGCCATCTGCGCATCTCCATGAAACCCCATCTCTTTCATTTTACCACCACCCTTCAAGAATATCATCTGGAAAACAACAAATCTAGCTAAAATTCAGCCGGAGAAAATGCCACCCCTCATATAAGTACAATGTATGAGTAGTTGATCAAAGGGGTTCCTCATCCTTATAACATTAATAGCGAACTCTGAGAGACTGAGCTCCTTGACTATGAGCGTTTCTTCTTTGCAATCTTTCCTGAGTGCCTAAATTTCTGCAACCAGGACTGGGGAATAAAATTTTCTTTAGCACCCTTACTTCCCAGTAAGCGTATCATCGGTGATAGCGGAGTTTTCAGCTTAGGCGCTCTAGAAATTAACTGAAAATAGGCAGATTCACAAGTAAAAGAGCCCTAATTGTCGAAGCACCAAACCAGCCAGTGTCTTCCTAGTCAAACCTAGTCATATCAACCTTGTCTCGTGGCCATTTAGGGCGCTAAGTGAAGTTATTAAGTCTAAAGTTGTTCAGTCTGTGAAGTTAAATAATCTGTGTTTGGGATGTATAGATGTTTGGTTTGAGTTTGAAATTTTGTGTTTAGGATGCAAAGTTGTTTTATATGGAGTTATGAACTTTGTGTTTATGCGTGCTATTTTTTTTTACATTTTTTGTTGTCTGTACAATTAAAGCTATATTAGATACCAATTTTCCAAAATTTAAATAATAATTGTTTATTTCCATCAAAGAAAATACTTTCTTTTTTTTTTTTCTCATTTTCAACTATTATCTAATTTATTTTTAAGTATTTCAGTGTTTTTTTCCTAGATATTCATTTTATTAAAGACATTTGTTCTAATATCCTAAAGGACATTAATATAAAAGATCGTTGAGAAAAATCTTTTATTCCAATTTTAACTCCAACTCCATTCCACATCTAGAAATTTAGCATTTTCTGGTTAAACTTAGTACCATATTGTAACTTCATTTTTTTATGACTGTTCTATGTATCTATGATTTCAAAACCTAATAAATTTTAAGCAAAATTTGTTGTTTACTATCCTATGAAGTTAAATTATATTTTTATATAAGAAAAATCATGACATGGACGGTTATATTTTGCTAATTTTCTAATCATTTTACAATTATCATTTGAACACAAATTTTAAAAATCTATGTGCAAGTATTCATCATTGTTGTATTCACTAGTGGCACATCCTCTCCATCTTTGTACTTCAAACTTTATCTCTGTTTTATCTTTATCTTTTTTAGTTTGTTTGTGTGATTTTGAGAGACAAAAGTTAAATGAATTTTATTGTTCTAAAATATCTTGACCTATTTGACATAAAATTGTAAATTCAAGGACTTGTTTGATACAAAATTTAAAGTTTGAGGACTTATTAGACCCTTTTTAAAGTTCAGAGATCTATTAGACAAGAAATTGAAAGTTGAATACCTATTAGAAATATTAAGTTTAGGGACTAAATTTGTTATTTAATAGGGGTTGGTATCCAGCCAAATCTTTTCATTCACTTGTTTAGTTTACTGGAAATATTTGTAGTTGCCATAAAAAGGCTCAAGGTTCTCAACATCATTGTCGTAGCATGGTTACTAATGAAGCCTTGAATATTCTTGATTGTTAATGATCTTCTTGAAAGATATTCATTATGATTCAAAACTTTATTTCCATTCTGCCAATATTGCATTCTTGTCCTCTCCTTTGCACTCGTAGCTGTCAGCTTAAGCACGTTTTGCCTTTAAACTCACCCCAAGAAATGTTCTGTACTTCAAGCATTTGAAATTCATACATTAAGATCAGTACATCGTGGATCATATGTTTATTCCTCCTAATCTTTGAAGCTTTTTTAGAATTCCTCAGCCTTCATATAATTTAGTAATTGTTGAATTTAGACAAATAACACGGCCATGGTATTACCCTCTTACTTTGATCCAGCATTTCAGAAACTAGTAAACAACCAGCCAATTCCATTATTTGGTTATGCCGTATTATATCCGATCTGATATTTCACCTGATCTATCATTTCTTAGTTTAGTGTTTCTTTGGGAGGAAAAATCAAGTTGACCCCTAAACTTGTAAAGTTGTATCAATTTTTTTCCTTAAAATTTTGAACCTTAAACTTTCTATTTCATCAAATTGCACCTCTAACTTAGATGAGTGTTGCCATCTTAACTTTAACCTTTAACAAATTCTTGCTCCAAATATGGTTAACCTTTAGTTTTAACTTTTTTTTTTTTTTTTTTTTTTTTGG